TCTCCATACAGGAGGCGTCTTGAAGCTGTCATTGACAACAAAGGCTTTTGTACAAAGTATTAGATAAATTTCAGTAAGTGTGTTTACTTTTTACTGAGAAAAATGGTGACGTGTTCAATACTTATTTTACCCGCTGTATATGAATTCGTTGATGAAAGTAAAATAGAGCTCATTAACCTGATCTGCTGCTTGTTCATCATTCCTTGTGTCAAGTGCATCAATAATCAGTTTATCCAACATCTTCCTTTACCAACAGTTTGTAAACCTCTAGGAACTGAAAAGACCAATTGTTAGAGGTTTTAGTGGAACTTAAGAGACCGGTTGTTTGGGGATTAGGAGGAACTAAAGAGACCAAGCGTTAGAGGTTTTGGAAGAATTGAGGAGAACRGTTATAAGGAATTGTAACGTTTCTTAGTAATCTTTTCAGATTATGTTTCAATGTGAATAAAATATTGGGATAAAAGTTTTATAAATCCTTTGTATTCTCTCTTTTTTTCTGCCTGTTTTAAAGTTGGTGCTGATAGTACTGCCAGGAATATTTTCATTTTCATGCCAGCGTTAGAGTAAGACCAACTCATGATGGGAAGAGACAGGAGTTGCAGCTGATTTGATCAGACATTGAAAAAACAAAATGTACAAATTCAAACAATATTGCAGTATCATGTATGATCAATTGGAGTTTGTGTTGTGAATGACTATAGATCCTACTATGCTAAGTTTTAGCTTAATATTCATGGAAATGACTGTCTTATTATCATTTATGCATTTTTAAATGTGAGTTAAATGTGAGCCAACTTGAACTGGGTTGACTCCATAAGTTAATGAGTTGTAGATGTAAACACAGGTTACTTTCTGAAAGTGTTAGACTTGATCTGAGCGTGAGCTATTTTACCAACAGACTGACAGATTCTAACAGTAATGACAAAGTTTTCAACTTTACAAATTCAACTACTACTGCAGCTACAGGATCTTTTGTTGTTTTTATTGAACATAATGGTAAATGGCTTTGAACATAAGTCCCCTCTTCCACTAGTGCCACTTAGTGTAGTGTCTGTACGGTTCAATACGGTTCGAAGCCATTTCCATTAGGCCAGATTCATGGAACCAGCCCTTTTCTAGTACCTACTCCATTGTGGTTTCAAGCGGTCCTAGTCATCAACAAAATGTGACATCAGAACACTGTTTGTCACTGATTGGCTAGGGGGTGGAGTCACTGGTTGAGTCCGAGCTGCCTTTACAACAACTCAAGGCACCATTTTTTCWACTGTAGCAGCGACATTAGTTGTGTTTCCCTCCAAATTTTATTCGAATWTTTAGCAAATTTTTTTTTAATTTCAGAACTTATTTGGCAAATGTGTTTCCATCTCTCATTTTGCGCATTAACTTTTTTTTATTTTTTCAAAAAACCCAGAAAAACCCAAAAACCACCTCCACCAACCACCCAAAACACACCCACTAGAACCGGACTGGAACATCAATGGAAAAGCACCTGAAATGACCCGCTCTGACACTAACCGTACCAACACTACACTAAGTGATACTAGTGGAAAAGGGGCAGACCACCATCAGTAGGCCAGGCGGAGGAAGTGAGCTACTGTGTACTTGGATACTTACTGTTATCATTTGATTGATTATTTAATACATCTCTAGGATGCGCTGGGATCCATCACTAGTCATGTTCCTGAGGCAATTGGGGGTTTCATGTCATGATTCAACATCAGACCCCCTCACTTAGGTGTATCATCTGGGGTTGATCAATTCCTGGATTGCATCCCAGTAGCTGCAGCTTCTGTTATGGAATGAAAGGTTCCCGTCCTAATAGCTCGTCACACTTAACCTTGCTGGAGTTTAACCTTAGAGCTTTGCAGGTTGAGTACCCAGCATTGCCCCAGCAGCCCACCTTAATAGGTTTGCAGAGAACCAACCAACACCAGCACCATTAGCCCCAATGCTATCACCATATACTTTATATGTATTAGCTCAGCGCTACACATTCTCTTCTCGTCACTGAGGTACTCCATCCACATGACAGAGAGGGGAACACAAAAATGACTCAGCCTGCAACTGAAAAGATGGATGGAGGACCTCCGTTTAGCTTGTTTGTTGCGCTAGCGCTGAGCTAATACATATAAGGCAATATAGTGTCAATGCTAAAGCTAACAGGTTCATCACGGTTAATTGTGTCATTTAGCCGATAACAATAAATATAACAAATAACGTAGGACAACTGCACTTGCAAGTTTTTGACTTTACATCATTTACCTGTGTTCTAAAATTATACTTACAAATCATCAGGCGTAATGTCTTCATTTTAACAGGTTAAAATAGTAAGCTGTGAAATGAAACCCACCTTTTACACAATGTGGAGTGGCAACATAACTTTTGTAATGCAATATGCCACAGTCTGCCCCACATTACGTCCACAGTGCTTCAAAATCATGGATTCCCGGCTGAGGAGATTTGTTGTGCTGGCGTTGTGGCGTCAGTCCTTTTGTCACTGGTTTGTGGCTGTGTTTCAGGTGATTAAATAAATTAGTTGGGTTATTGTTTGCTGCTCTGCGCTGCCACCTGCCATTGGGCTCACGCACACTTGATAGTGAGCGTGCATCGCCCACAGAAATACGTCRTCATCACACAGCGCTAACTGCAGCGATCGCAAAGTGATAAATATTAACTGGAGGCTGCTTTTCTGATGATTAATTGCACACAATATGATTTTGCACACGCAAACTCGATGCACAACTTAAATTGAATAACTTTTGTAGTTAATGCATTTCAAGTTGGCCACCACAGCTACTTAGTCTAAGGAAGCACAGAAATGTCTCCAACTCAGTCAGTTTTACAGATATTGAGGTAAAACTCTGTATGGTGGTGCTGGCACATAAAATAGATCTAACTCCATCGTTTCTCATCAGAAAATGATCTAAAACACTAACAATAAGACCACCTGGACTCGGTGTGTTGCAGCAGTTTTCAGAGATAAACCCACCCTCTGGGGTGGCGGTCCAGCTCGTTCAGAACCGTGTGGTCACAGTATTCAAACACCAGATGAAGCTTCCGTTTACGGCGAAACACCTCGATCAGGTTTACCAGGTTGGCGTGTTTCAATGTCTGAAATACACACACACACACACACACACACACACACACACACACACACACACACACACACACACAC